GGTCAGGACTAATGCCTGGCATTTCGTGGACTTCGAATGCAAAGATGTCCTTGTATTCTTTCAATAGTTTGTAAAAGTCGTCACCTAGGACTCTCAGAGCAGTCGTCCCAACTTTGACTGTTCGGTCAGGACGCGAGTCGTCTAAGGTCAGGTCCGTATGCTCACCAGCCGGCTGAGGGCGGAATTCATCCGACCACTCCTCTGCCAATGATTGCTATTTTCTGTCTTTTCTTGCGGCCCCTGTTTGGGATGCCTTTCTCTTCTTGCCGCCTGCTTCTTGAACAGGCGCACTCTCCTTGACATTGTCAAGGTCTATTTTTCCACCACTCGACCCAGTGGTCATAACAGTGGGCTTGACATCCGAGAGATAGCACTCTCGGGCCATCCTTTGATCTCCCCTTAGGGACCCGACTGTTCCATTATCCCTCTCAAACTTGAGCAACATAAGAGATGGGATTATAACAGCCTTGGAATTATTCAGGGTTGGTCGTCCCAGAATCATATTGTAGGCCGAGAGTTCTTCTACTACCAGGAACCGGACTACCATGTGTCGTCCTTCCCCTTTTTCGCCCAGGCGGATGGGTAAATCCACTCGTCCTACTGGGTGGACGACTCCTCCTCCAAACCCTACTAAAGGGTGGGATGCCGGATGTATGCAATCAGTCTAATATTTTAGTTTCGACAGACATTTGCTACTGATGAGATCTGAGGAGCTTCCGGTATCTATGAGGATTCGGCCAACTCTCTGGTTGGCCACTTTACATTCAATAACGATAGGGTCGTCATGCGGTCCTCTTACCCCTCCTAGATCTTCTTCAGTGATGACAATTTCAGGAAATGAATATTTGGAGGGCCGTTCTTGGTGAACGGAATTTACATCTAACCGTCTGATATTGTCTTTGTTGCCCCTAATAGTGGGGCCGCCTCCTGAGAAGCCGCCTGCAATGGTGTAGACGACTGCATCATCTGTATCGGAGCTGTCGGCCTGTTGATTCTTTTTGGTCGACTGCTTTTTTGAGGAAGTGTTCCCCGTAGATTTCTTGACATAAGTGTCAAGATCACCTTGCTCAGCCAGGCGGTCCAGATACCGCATAAGACTGATGCATTCATTGGTGTGATGACCAACATCTTCATGATAATCACAGAATTTTTCTTGGTTCCGGTTGTTTGCAGAACCCTTCATGGGGACCGGCTTCTCAATTGAGATCCGTCCCTTGATTTCCTTTAGGATAAATTGGCTATCCTTGTTAAACGCATACTTTGGGGAGTATGGTTTGAATTCTTTTTTCTTTTTCTGGGCCGGCTGTTTAGAGGAATCAGCAGCCCAGACCTCTTTTCTCTTCTCGTCTTTGTTTGACGACTGTTTCTGTCGTCCTTCTCTTTTGTCGGACCTTTTCCCGTCTGACTGTTTTATCGTACTACAAAGATCAGTCGCCTGTATATAGGCTTCCGCTTCAATCAAGGCCTCTTGAAGAGTCGCCACCCTCTTTCGGACCAAATCAAATTTGAAGGTCGACCCGTCTTTGAGACCTCTGAAAAAATCAGTATAGGCTACTTCATCCAGTAACCCTTGAATCTGTATTCTCATCAGGTTAAACCGCCTGATGTAAGAACGAAGCCCCTCCTTCTCACCCTGCTGAATTGTTCCTAAATCAAGGGTCGTCTTCTTCGCAGGGATGTTCATGGCGAAGTTGGAGGTGAATAAGTAAGCAAGCGTCTTGAAGCTATTTACACAACCAGTCGGCAGGTTGCCGAACCATTGTTGTGCGATTCCTTTGAGAGTCGCTGGGAAACACTTGCACCAAGTGGGATCATCCAACCCTTGAAGGTACATCAGGTTGGTGAATGCCATCAGATGGTCTTCTGGGTTAGTAGTGCCGTCATAGGGGCCTACTAATACATTTTTCACTTTGGCCGGCTGAGCGGCTTCAGTAATTTCCTTGGAGAAGGCCGACGGCTGTTCGCCAAGTCTAAGCAACCGTAACTGCCAGTCCATAGGTTGGACGTGTTTTGCTGCATGTCCACCAAACGGAGGTGGTTGTAAAAAATACTGTTGTTGCGGTACAAACGGTAAGTTTGGTACCGCCTGGTCGCTATGATAGCCGGATTGACGGGAGGTGCCGCCTGACTGACTCTCATGATACGACTGAGTATGCCTCATCGAGGTATTTCGCAGACTGTCTTGGAGGTTTGAAGTAGAGGCCGACTCTGACAATCAGTCACCCTTCTTCTGCTCTAGCAGTAGCCGAGCGTCTGTGTATGTTTTCCTCGACCCGTCCGCCTGAATATGACGAACAGGTTTCCTATTTCCTGGAGTAGGAAAACGGTATTTTGTGAAATCAAGGGCAGGTGGCTCCCGCTTCCTAGATTTAGGATGAGGAGTCGCCTCTCGGCCTTGAACTGGCTTCCTCTTCTGTGAAGTGGAGGGTTTCTTAGCCGACTGCTCCTTGTCCAGAGCAGGCGGCTTCTTGTTGATCAACTCTTGAATTTCTCCCTTGAAGTCCCTCATGAATGTCATGAGTTCACTCCTTGTGATGGGAGCAGACCCATCAGTCAGCTGTTGCCGAACAGGCGGTGCGCCTGCTGGCTCGCTTCCTGTATGAAGATGTTCTCGTTCCCTCCTTTCGGTATGACGGGTACGTCGGGCCCTTAGGGTCCCGTCTGAAGCTGTGTGAGCTTCAACTTCAAATTCATTCTCAGTATCGTGGTCCGCCTGAACTAGAGGGTCGTCCAGGGGACGTCTTTCTTCAGGAGTCGGTACAAACGTGGATGCCATCTCAGAAGTACTCTCCCCACAGACGGCGCCAAGATGTTTCGGTGTTTTCTGATGTCCTGCGGGAGAGTTACAATTCCGAGACTGGAACCGGACGCCTGTACCTGCAAAATAAACGGATGCTCCGGATGATTGGAGATCCGCCTCCAACGGTCAAGTTAGTACTTGATTAAGGAGTAATTAATGCGGAAATTAAAGTGATTGGGTCTCTCTAGGTGAGAGTGTTTAATGTGTGTAATCTGCGTTTTTTAGCATGTTTTTTCTCTCTTAATGAGGATTAAGGGAGGTATTTATAACCTCGGGAAACGTGCCAATCTAGGTTTAGGTTAACCTTGGGCTGATTGGGCTTCCCTCGGAAGTTGGGCCTAGGTGGCCGGATATCCCAGGTGTCATGGGAAGGACACGTGTCGTGTCGTAATTGGTCCATAGTGGACGGATCATTGCTTGACACGTGGCAGGCTCCTATTGGCCCATGTGACGGACACATGGCGGAACCTGATTGGTCCACTTGTCAGATGGTGATTGGTGGGGAAAAATCCCCTAATCAACACTTGAACAAGATATTCCAGTGGGAAGAAATTGAACTTAATACATACAAAAAGTTGGGTGTCAATCCTTAAGCAAAAATCAGGTCCAAGCAACTAATTCCCAAATATTTCATAAGTGAACAATCCTGCTCCCATTTTACCACCAAACTTGAAAAAACAAAAAATAAAGGTATCCCAGAAATATCACAGTAATAAAAATTTGTTTAAAAACAAATTATATCGTCTTAGCAAACATTAAACACCTTCCTTTATAACCACAATCTCGGAAAAGGAGAGAAACAAGGTGACTAACATGAGCAGTGCTCTAAACCGTCACCCGTAGTTTTCAACAACCTTACAAACAGAAAGAGAAGTTCTGAAAGTAAAACTAGCTACAAAAGCATCTTGCAGGATCAGGTTTGTCATTAACGGGAGTTAAGACTCAGGTTACCAATTTGGCAAGGGGAGGACTCAACAACCAAACAAAATCAATCCAACAAAAGTTTCAATAGTCTTGATCATGAAACTTAATAGCAATGGTCAACTAGACAATTATTACAAGTCATGCCACCTTTTTTTTTTTCTAGTTTTATCAAATTATCTCTACACAATTTGTTTGGGGAATGATATCAATGAATTTAATTTGGTTGTCAAATTCACAAGCAATCTGGAAAGAGAATCTCAGGTTAAAATTAAATACATCACAATTTTAAAGTTTAATTCAAAGAAAACAAGCACAGTAATTCTTTTCAAATAAAAAGTAAATCTTATTATGAGCTATACTTCTCTTCAAATACATAGCCCTTGATTATTATGTGCTGAGTTTATCTCTTCAAATACATTGCCCTTGCTTACTATGAGATGAGTTTATCTCTTCACCCTTTTAAAGATGCAAATCAACTAGAAAATCTGTAAAGTCATGCATCAAATAAATGGCACCAGGTATTTTACTTCAACCAAGGTGACTAAAAGGCTCAAATTTAAGTCAAGTAGACCAAGTGTAATCACAAAAGACTTTTACAACTCATATCATACACAAGTGCACAAAATAGGCTGATGGACTTATCCTAAGCCTTTTAACAGTTTTTATCTATAGATGCTTCTGCTGATACATTGCACTTGATTAGTACATCACCTAGCTTAGGGTTCGTTTAAATTAAGCTTTAATTTCCCCATACCAATTGGAACTTAATGCCTAAGAGATACTAGAACACATGATTAGCAATGACTCCATAAACCACAAACTAAAGCAGCTAAACACCCAAAACACAAATTATAAAAAATAGAAACTTTTGGGAAAACAAAGATAGTTAGGGGACCTAAATCACACTGATTCCAACACTATAATAATGAGAAAAAAATTTGATAATCCAATCAATCATAACCAATTAACAAACCAAATAAGATAATCCGATCTACCCAGCAATAAACTATGCTTCAAAAAACACAAATTAAACACCAATAAAAGCAAACATCCAGAAAAAAAAGAACCCCACTTCAATTTAATCACGATTAATCAAAATCCAGAATATAAATAAGGTAAAAAAAAGCTCAATGAAATGTACTCAGATTCAAGGATATCAAAAACCCCAGAAAAAGTAGCATATATAACAGAATATAGAAAGATTAATAATAATAATAATAAAAAAAAAAAAAAAAAAGGGAAGAGGAGTAAAAAAAAAAAAAGGGAAGAGGAGTACCTGGTATTGTAGCCCTCCCTAGCTTAGTAATTAACGAAAATATTCCCAAATTAGTCAGAAATTCGACCACGGTTTTTACTCCCCAGCCAGCAGCAACAACAATCAATTAATAATTCAAGAGAAACATAGGCAAAAATCAAAGAAATACAGTAGAAGGATATATAGAGAGAATGAGGATAGAGAAAATCGTCATTTTTTATCAGCAACCACCTCAACCAGGTGACGAAGGATCTTCATCTTTTCTCTTTCATGTCCCCTCTTCCTCCTTCGCTGAAACCCTTAATCACCTCTTAGAAAATGTAAATCTTGAAATTGACAATCGAAAATTAAATAAATAAAAATCATACCTATTCTCAAATGGAGGTCAGACCGTGAGAAAAAGGAAGAGAATGAGGAAGACAATTAGTATTATATACTCCTAGAGTACAATGGATCATGCTACTCCTTACAAATATGTTTGAGTTATTTTGCGTACACTTTTTGTTATTTTGCTTAAATGTTGTGTTATTTAGTTATTTTGTTACAACAATATGTTATTTACTTATTTACTTCAACCTCCATTTATGCTATTTTTAATTTACAAAATAACAAGAACTTATTTATAAATAACATGTATATAAATTGAAATAATAATAAGTTTTACATCAAAATAACATTAGCAGCTTTGAGTTTAAAGAGAATCGAACACTTCAAGAGGTACTAAATTTCTTGACATGAACACATTTGAACCCTTAAATGGTTTCAAATCAATTAATTTCTAAGAAACCCAGAAAATTGGAAGAAAAAAAGAGGAGAGAGAAAGTGTCTTTGATTTAGAATTGGAGTAGTGAGAGGAAGAGAGAGAGAGTGAGAGGTTAATTTTTGGGAAACCCAGAAAATTGGATGAAGAAGGGAAGAGAATGCGTGTGATTTTGAGTTGGAGTAGCTGAGAGAGGAAGAGAGACTATGGGAGGAAGATGACTGAGAAAAAAGGCAAAATAACATACATTTATTTAAAAATAACATATATATAAATTGAAATAATAAGAAGTTAATATCAAAATAACATGAATTTATAAAATCTGGAGTACCATGTGCACGGTACTCCAGGGGTAAGATAGAAATTGCGGAGGACGGGCATCAAAGCCCTTGAATACCGGTGAAAACAGGGAGTAGGAAGATGGAGAATTTTAAGACATAGATAAAGAGAGAGAAAAAAAATGAGAGAGACGGAAACTCGTATGAGGGAAAGAGTTAGCCCGGTTTGGGTTTTTTAATTCTTAGTTGTATGTTTGTAACGGACGTTTAAGCGTTGGTTAGTTGGTTACAAACAAAAAGTCAATTTACGTTTGACCGACTTATTTGTATCGGGTACAAATTGTCAGTTACAAAATTGTTGTATTCGTAACTGACAAAATTATACCCGATACAAATACTATAGTTTTTGTAACGAGCATTTTATTGCCCGTTACAAATACTAATTTTTCACCTTTTACGCCACTTTATTATAACGGGCTATTATTTTGCCCGTTATGAAAAGATTAATTGTAATTGGCCTAGTTTTGCTCATTACAAATAGCCTGTTACAAATGGCATTTTTTCCACTAGTGACTCAAGCTTCCCCATCTCCACCTTCCTCGATATCCACCCACCTCCCCCAATCTCTACCCACATCTAAAAAAAAAAATGAAGGGTGAAATCAAGGGCATGGTCAACCCAAAGGGAAGGGGTGACCATGTCCTCTATGGAAGCTCCTTCAATTGATGATGGTTTGGGTTCGACAGTTCGTAGATGGGTCGAGTTAACGCCGACGATGGGTCGAGTTCGTAGATAGGTGGGCGACGAAGTGATGATGGTGATGGTGATGGTGGTGGTGGTGGTTGTGGTGGCTGTGATGGTTGAGGTAGAAGAGGAGTGAGGAGAGAGAAAGTTGAATGGTAGATATGAAAAGACAAGACTTCCCCTTGACTAACATATTTAACTTGGACTCATCATTGCAAAGCATAACACCTACACTTTTTTACCATAGTACTCCCCTTGTAAGGAGGTTTTTTTTTCCTTAAAAAAAATCACATCTTCTGTTGGTCTTCAACACCATAACCATAATTCATGATAATCTATACTATATATTAAACACCATAACCATATTTCATGTTGTAGGGAATATTTCAAGCATTAACCCCTAGCTCGAAGAACCCCACTGTGATCATACACTAAAGTACGGTGGCGTCTAAAGGGAAAAAAGATAGAACAAAAGAGTCGCCAACAAGTTTTTTAGGAACTTGTAAACTGTTCACGAGGTGAAGTTTACACCCCTTAACGATCCAAGAGATCGTCAACTCCATAAGGTCTTGAACCAAATAGGGTTCGAGGATGAAGGTACAAATCCAACCTAAAAGAGATTGAACCTGCCCTAATAATAGGTCTCTACTTTATTCTGATCGTATTCATGTGCGCTTTTTAACTAACATGCAATCAATAGGTTTACCCTAAACCTGTTTATCTATGTTGGTTGAATATTAATGCACAAAAAAAACTATTATTGGCGATCACTTGAATTATAATCAAATTAACCCTAAACAAGATTATTAATTATCTTATTAAGCGTGATTACCAGTACAAATTCCCTTTAAACATACAATAAAAGGCGTGATCAAGCAATAAAAATAAATAAGTATCAACAAGCAACGTAATAAGCATAATAATAATCATAATAATCATAATCATGTTAAAGCATAATATTAATAGCAAGATCCTACGCATGATACTAACAAGATTAATAACAAACCCTAGCATGTCAGTAGACAATAAAAATCAAAGCTTTAACCCTAACATGATATTAACAATCATAAATATTAGGAAAGAAAATAGGAAGCATCGCAGGAATCATAATTGATTTAAGAAACTTATTCTTTACCCTAGACATGATACTAGGAAGCATTCTTTTAAACATACTTGATATTAGAAATTACCCTAAACATGATACTAGGAATCAAAATAATAATCTAAGCATGATTTCTATATCAAAATATCAATTAAACAATTAAAGCACTTACTTTGATGCCTCGTACCTCTTTCTAATGACAAAATACACGCGTTAGTAGCTTCAAGGAAAATAATAAAACAAAACAATTAAATTAAATAATTGAAAGAGAGATTTGGGACCAAACCCTCAGAAATTAAACCTTTCACGTCTAAGGCGAAACAACTTCGAATATGGCTAGGTATGTCTAGTGCTAATGTTTGAGGAATTGTGTTTGTAAAAAGCTAGGCTTAGAAAGAGAGAGAGAGAATCAAGAATTTCTTGATGAGAGTTGATGAGAATTGGTAAGAATAAGAATTGATGAGAATTGATGAATGAAAACGGAGTTTTTAGGAAGCTATTTATAGAGAAAATCAGCCAAAAAGATAAAAAAATAAAACAGAGTTCTGACGCGCATAAAACCTGATTAGCATCGACATTGGCAATTAGCGCCAGGCGCTGAAGGTTAGCGCCAGACGCTAATAATCAGTTTCACGCGTTTTGTTTTTATCATATCTTTTGATCCCGAAGTCCAAATAAGGAATATAATATGTCTTTGGAAAGCTCTTGAAGTTTACTTTCCAACCCAATTATAATCAGATTAAAATATTTTGTATATAAAACGATATGATCGAAATAGTGGAAGGGTGTCAGTTTTGGATAGAGTTTCATGTCTCATTCATATCTTTTTAGTTATAACTCGGATTTTATATTATAATATATAATTGGAAAGATAATTTCAAGATCTATCCAAACATATAAAATTTGGATAAATATTATGAGGAACGAAAATAAAAACTGAATATATTCCACTTCGTACAAAACAAGGATTCTAAAAAAGAGTAGTTTTATTCAATTTCAAACTCTTTAAAACATAATTATCAATCCTAAATCCATTAGGATTTAAATGTACCTTCTAGAGTATTCTAGAAGACTATAATCAATCCTAATAGCTTTAGGAATAATAATTAATAATAGGCCCTCCTCTAGATCATTGGGCCGCATATAAAAACAAAATCGGGCCCAGTTTAACATTTTGGCCATAACTTCCTCATTATTCATCGGAATTGGGCTTATAATATATCGTTGGAAAGTTCTTTTCAAGCTCCATCCAACTACACTATTATTGGACCCTTATCATGGACCAAACTAAACTAGAATGCACGTTTTTTAAAACTAAGGTAAGAAAAGAAATATTTTCAAAAACAGAAAGAAGAGATATTTTAATAAAATCATCCTCATCACTAGACTTTTTACACTTTCTCTTTATTCGATAATAAAATGACGTGAAAAGTATTCATCACCGGGTTTGATTTTGGGGAGACACATTTGGGTGTCTACAGAAGCCCCCACTTTGACTGAGTTTGGAGAAACGCAAGTTTCGAAAACAAAAGTGAAAGTATCGATAGGGACGGAGAATGATTCAGAACGTTCTGCGATGCTAAATCACTCTTGTAACGCCGATATCTGCAAACTAGCGTTAGTTAAACAGATAAAAGAGTTAAGAAACCCATATCTTGCACCGTCGAGCACACATCTCTGAAAGTAATCGATTTGTTGCTGCTTTTGCTGTATTGACGACCTCCTGCAATCTAGAGAATGCCATCCCGCTTGAAGACTGCTACGCTTGTAATCGCCTCCAATTCCGCCATGATAATATTCCACATGCCAGGGAACACTATCGAAGACAACTTCGCTTGAAATCACGTTCAGTTGTTTGTGACAACTCTCCGCAAGCTAGGGAATGCTGCTAAAGATATACTCGCTTGAAGCTATCCTCATCTGTTGCGATAATATTCCAAAGAAAATTACCGAAGATCCACGCTTGTCGATCTTTAAAAGCTCGCTTGAACTTTGCTTCTGTTATGCCTGTACGTCGACGCTTTGCTGCTTGTGAACCAGTACGTCGGTGCTTTTGCTGTGATGAAAATCCTCTTTTCTTTGGGAATAGTTGCCAACACAACTCTCTTGTATGATGTATGACAATCCGATTTAGGGAAAGTTATCAATTCTTAGTAACAATCCATCCTTGGAAATGTTGCTACGATGAAGCGACAATCCGTATCTCGGAAAATTTGCCAAAATCCAATTTTGGGAAAAGTTGCCAATGCTTCGTAACAATCTGTCATAAGAATTTTGCTACGATCGAAAATCCACATCTTGGAATATAACTCTTGAAAGCAATCAACCTTGGAAATTGCCAACGCTATGCGACAATCCTTTTAGGAAAATATTGCCGCAATTGACAATCCGCATCTTGGAACATTTGCGAAAAAGAGTCGACCGACAATCCACTTCGGGAAAATTTGCTACTTACTGAAATGAATGACAATCCACGTTGAGGAACCTTTGCCGAAATTTATGATGAATAGAGACCTAGAACAATCC